TACTACGTGTCGGTTCGTGACACCCGATCAATTAACCTCATTCTTTTAGTTCATCAAGCCTTCTTTTATACCAAGGCATCATCATTAATATAGAGGATTAAAGTTTAAGATTCACAACCTCATCTTTCCAACTCATTACAATTACATAATCACATCATGCAAGCATACAATTAAGCATATAGAAGATTTTACTACTACCCAATACATACCATTCGCTATTAAGAGTTTACTATGAAATAGCATAAACCATAACCTACCTCCACCGAAGAATCGTGAATCAAGCAATCTACTTCTCTAATGCTTTGCTTTCCTCTTCGTTTCTTCTCTTTCTCTCGCTCGTTTTCTCCCTTCTTTTCTGTTCTTTCTATTTTCCCTTATTCACACTCTTTTTTCTTTTACCCTAATTACCATATAATTAAGTATAAAAGATGGTAAAAGTAACCCACTATTTATTCCAAGGTTATCACTTTAACCCCCAAGTAATTGAATTATTAACATTAAAACACTAACTTTATAATTATATACAGGAATAGTCCAAAACGCCTCTTAAAACTTTTAACAGAAATCTGACCCCTTCAGGTTTACGCAGCCCGTGACGACCCGTCGTTCCTACGACGGTCCGTCCTGCTGCTTCCGTCACAAAGTTCAGAGAGTCGAATTACAATAGAGACTCTGTGACGGTCCGTCGTGCCTACGACGGTCCATCCTGCCATGTCGTTGCGAAGTTCAGAGAGTTATTCTCAGTGCCCAAATTTCCATAATCTAAGTGTTTTGGAACGACACCCCCTCAACGGTCCGTCGTTCCCATGACGGTCCATCGTGGGATCCGTCGACCCAGACAGTTATTACCAAAAATAAACTCTACTGCTCAAAACGACTAACAGGTCGTTACAAATTTAGAAGAGGAGAAGAGTAAGGAGTATAAGGAACCTTGGATCAATATGTTTAAAAACAATCGTGCAGCTAACAATGGGATGAACTTGACTTATATTCCTCCACAAATTCATAATGGGCAAACTATGGTGTAGCTAGAAAGGAAAGAAGTACAGATTGAAGAAGAAAAGTGGAAATGTGCTCTTGTAGCCTATGTAATAGGTGAATGTCCTGGATACAACAGTATGAACAGGTATATATTGATGAAATTGTCAAAAGTTGATAAACCTGAGGTATTCCTTCATGAGGAAGGATACTACATAATCATGTTTAGGAGTCTGAATGACATGAATGAAGTTCTATATTCAGGGCCTTATATAATAAGTAATCGGCCTATCATATTGAAACAATGGAGTCTAGAATTTGATTTTGGGATAGAGTTTTTAACTGAAATCCCTCTATGGGTTAACTTTCCTAAGTTGCCTTTAAATTGTTGGGGAGATGGATCACTGAGTCGAATTGCTAGTGCAATAGGAGTCCCATTATTTGCTGATGAATGCACTATAAAACAGACAAGGATATCCTATGCTAGAATGCCCATTGAAGTAAATGTTACTAAGCCTATCACTCAGAAGATAATAGTAATGGATCCTAATGGGAGAACATTTATGCAAGATGTAGTGATGGAGTGGAAGCCTCTATACTGTGAAAAATATCAGAAGATTGGTCATCAATGTCAAACAACAACTAAGGTGGAGCAACCAAAGAAGAGCAGGCCATGGAAAAAAGTGACACAAACATGGAAATATAAAGGCCCTATTCAACAACACGAGAAGGTAGTGGAACAAAATCAGGTGTTAGAGACTTAAGAAGATGAAATTTATATTGAGCAAGGGGAGAAACAAGGGAGTGAGCAAAGAAGAGGTCAGGAAACCAAGCAAACACCAGAAAATAACTTAAGGCCTTACAATGGAAGTAAGCAGCTGGAGTTAAGTATGTCTAATTTTCCAATGTTATCAGCTATTCCTATGAGAAATGGATTTGAGAGCCTCATGAACAGCAAGGTGATTTCACTGCCTGTGGATAGAGGTGGAACTCCTAAATCTTGTTAATGAAGTGGAGTTTTTGGAATGTGAGGGAAATGAATAAGAGGTATAAAAAAAAAAGAAATAAAGTTGTTCTTATAGCTTAATAAAGTGTCCTTAGCAGGACTAATTGAAATAAGAGTAAAAGAGGGTAATACTAATACAACAATGAATGGTATTGCACCGGGATGGAATAGGCTGAACAATTACAAAGATGCTGCTAATGGGAGAATCTGGATTATATGGGATGATAGTTGTTATGATGGTAAGCTAATAACTAATACAGCTCAGATGATACATTGTCAAGTAAAGGAAAGAAGTAAAGGGTACCAGTTTAATATCTCAGTTATATATGGTTATAATACTATAGAGTAGAGGAAGAGTTTATGGACTGATATGAACAAGATGGTTCAAAATGTTATATATCCATGGCTCATAATTAGAGATTTTAATGCTATTTTGTCCCCCAGGGATACACTAGCTGGAGCTCCTGTTAATGAGAATGAGATAAAGGATTTTGCTGACTGTGTCAAGGCTATGGGCATTCATGAATTACAGTGGAAAGGTAGTTACTATACTTGGAGTAATAAGCAGATTGGTAATGCCAGAGTTTCAAGAAGGATTGATAGAGCTTTTGGGAATGATGAATGGATGGATAAATGGGGACATGTCATATTAGAATATGGTAATCCAGGAGTTTCAGATCATAGCACCATGCAGTTGGTTCTTCATCAAAGCAATCAACATGTAAGGGCAAGTTTTAAATTCTTTAATATATGGACTGAACATGATTTATTCTTAGACCTGGTGGAGAAAGTGTGGAAGCAGGAGAAAGATAGGGATGCAATAAAAAAGGTGTGGTATAAGTTGAAGGCTCTTCAGCCTGTATTGAAACAGCTGAATAGGAAAGAGTTCAAATATATAAGTAACCAGATTGAGGAAGCTAGAAATGAGCTGATAGATATTCAAAATCAGTTGTGTCATCAAGCAAAGGATGAATTAGTTACTAAAGAAAAAGAACTCTTGACAAAACTTGAAAAGTTGTCCTTAATTAAAGAAAGTGCTCTTAGGCAAAAAGTAAGAGCAAAATGGATTAAGCTGGGGGATGCTAATAACAAATACTTAAGCTCAGTGATAAAGGAGAGAAACCATAAGAAGAACATTAGGATTTTGATGTCATTAGATGGAAGAAAGCTGTCAGAACCTCAAGAGATCCAAGATGAGTTTGTCCTATTTGATAAAAGTCTAATGGGAACAGCAGCAAATAATCTGTCAGCAATAAATGTTCAGGTGATGAAAAGGGGACCTGTTTTGTCAAGACAACACAGAATTCAGCTTTGTGCAACAATTACTGATCAGGAGATAGTTGAAGCTTTGAAGTCCATTGGGAATGAAAAGGCTCCAGGTATTGATGGTTACAATGCTCTATTCTTTAAACACACATGGAAGATTATTGAACATGATGTTATTGATGCTGTCAAGAGTTTTTTCACTACAGGGAAACTCTTTAAGCCTTTCAACTGCACTCTTGTTACTGTGATACCTAAGGTTCATAGTCCAAAGAATGTGAAAGAATATAGGCCTATTGCTTGCTGTAGAGTCCTCTACAAAATCATCTCAAAAGTGATAATGGAGTAATTCACAGTGTTATAAGTGAGAGTCAAGCAGGAAATGGGAGATAACATAATTCTAGCTCATGAATTGGTGAAGGCATATACTAGGAAGAATGTTTCTCCTAGAAGTACGCTAAAAATTGATCTTCGAAAAGATTATGATTCAGTAGAATGGCCATACTTAGAACATGTGATGGTGGGATTGGGTTTTCCTAAATTGTTTACTCAATGGGTAATGCAGTGTGTCAAAATAGTGAACTATACAATTGTAGTGAATGGTCAGAACACTCAAAGGTTTGATGCAGCTAAAGGCCTTAGACAAGGAGATCCAATGTCACCTTTCCTATTTGCTATAGCTATGGAGTACTTTAGTAGGCTGCTCAAAGGGCTAAAAGAAGAGAAGAACTTCAAATACCATCCTAAATGTTCTAAGTTGGATATAACTCATTTGTGTTTTGCAGATGATTTGCTGTTATTTTCTAGAGGTGATCTTAATTCTATAAAGGCACTACAAAATTGTTTCTCAGAGTTTTCTCAAGCTTCAGGTCTGCAAGCTAACCTTAACAAAAGCTCAATTTATTGTGGTGGAATCCAGAAGGAGGGGAGACATCAAATTGTTCAACAACTTGGTTACATAATGGAAGAGCTAGCATTCAAATATTTGGGGGTGCCTCTGTCATTAAAGAAACTGACTACACTCTAATGGTATCCCCTTATAGATAAAATCATGGCAAGAATCAATTCCTGGACAGCAAAAAAGTTATCTTATGTAGGAAGAGCTCAACTAGTCAAAATTGTATTGTTTGGAGTGCAAGCCTACTGGGCACAGTTGTTCATAATTCCAGCAAAGATAATTAAGTTGATAGAAGGCTTATGTAGAAGTTATCTATGGCCAGGGGTGAGTCATGTAACAAAGAAGGCCTTGTTATCTTGGGACAAAGTGTGTTGTCCTAAATATGAAGGAGGATTAGGTCTGCTCAATATAAAAGTATGGAACAGGGCTGCAATAGCTAAGCTATGCTAGGATCTAGAAAAAAAAGAAGATAAGTTGTGGATCAAATGGATACATGCATATTATATAAAGGGACAGAAGGAATGGAGGATGAGTAACAATGCAAGCTGGATAGTAAAGAAAATAATGAATGCAAAGTTTATAGTTTATCAAGTTCAGTAATTACCAAGCAGAGGGAAAGGGGTGCTCAGGCAAATCTACTATCACTTGAAAGGAATAAAGCAAAGGCCAGATTTGACATGTCTTATGTATAGAAATGCAGCAAGACCAAAAGCATATATCAAAATGTGGATTATGATGCATCAAAAGTTGTCAACTGTTGATAGATTAGTGCAATGGGGAATTGAAGTAGAAAAAGTGTATGTAATATGTAAGAAAGCTGAAGAGACTGCTGAACACTTGTTTCTACAATGCCAATTTGCAAGGAAGCTGTGGGAGAGACTTCTGGGAAGCATAGATCATCATAGTACTGTTCCATTGGTCTGGGAGCAATTTCAGCAGTGGTGTATTCAGTATGGGAAAGGAAAAAGGGCTACAGCACAAAGGTTCAAGACTGTGTTGACAGAAGGAATTTATGGACTATGGATAGAGAGAAACAATAGAATTTTTGAACACAAGAGTAGAAAGGAAGAGAGTATAGCTAAAAGATAGCTTATGAAACTATTGCTAGGATTTCTTGTAATAATTCAAAGATGTAATCATTGTGATAAGGGCTAGTAATAGTGTAGGAGGAAGTGTAGTTATTTTCTGAAGATGTAAGAACCTGTGTTAGTTCCTTTGCTATGTAATGTTGTTTCTGGTAATTAATAAAGTTTGTTACCAAAAAAATATTACAATAATAATAATAATAATAATAACAATAATAATAATAATAATAATAAAAATAATAATAATACTAATAATAAAAATAAAAATAATAATAATAATAATAATAACAATAATAATAATAATAATAATGATAATGATAATGATAATGATAATGATAATAATAATAATAATACTAATAATAATAATAATAATAATAATAAT